CGTGTAGGAAGGAGGCAGCAACAAACAACGTTTTACTGCTGCAATCAACATTCAACTCGTACAGTAGGAGGAGTACTAGATTAGCATTTAGCAGCCTACTCCTCTTTGTTTGTTTCTTCCTTCCACAATTTCTCCTTTTCTTCGTTATTCAGCAAAATTAAAAAACAAGGATCATCATTTGCTTCTATCTCTCTGCTTCATTATATAGATAAGATAAGAGACGGAGAGTGAGGAGGGGAGTAGTGTTGGGTCTCCACTCTCCGATGATGGGTAAACCTAACCCTAACCCGGAAGAGGAAAAGAGCCTCCGGGAGGAGCTGTTGGGTCCCATCTTGCTGGGAGAGCGCATCATAAAACTGGCTCAGGAGGCAGAGTCGTCCAAGGTGGACTGCGCGGAGCTGGCGCGGAAGGTGCAGGTGGTGTGCGACAACCTGCGGTCGGTGGTGCGCGTGGTGTCGGGGAGCCAGTGCGGCGTGAACGAGCGTCCCATCCGGCGCATAGTGGGCGAGGTATCGAAAAACCTAGAGCGCACGGTGGCGCTGGTCCGCAAGTGCAAGAAGCACGGCGGCGTCCTCCGGCAGGTGTTCTCGATGACGAGCACGGGCGACTTCCGGAAGGTGTGGAACCTTCTGGAATCTTCGAGCGGCGACATGGAGTGGCTCCTGAGCATCTTCGAGTCGAAGGGCTCCAACGTGTCCCTCCCCCCCATCGCCAGCAACGACCCCATCCTGGCTTGGGTCTGGACCTTCATCTACACTCTCCAATTGGGCCAGCCCAAGGACCGCGCCGAAGCCGCCACGGAGCTTGGTTCCCTGGCCCGAGACAACGACCGTACCAAGTTCATCATTTTGGAAGAAGGTGGGGTTCTTCCCCTCCTCAAGCTTCTCAAGGAAGGCTCTTCCCCCGACGCTCAAGTCGCTGCTTCCAATGCTCTCGTCAACATCACCACCAACCAAGACAGGGTCGTTGCTTTCCTTGTCGACTCCCATGCTGTCCCCACCCTTGTTCAGGTCCTTGGTGACTCCCCCATGAGGGTTCGTGTCTCTGTTGCCAATTTAGTCTCTGCCATGGCTGAGCAATGTGTTGTCGCTCGCGAGGAGTTCGTCAGGGCCAATGTCACTAGACCCCTTGTGTCATTGTTGTCCATGGACACCGTCCTCGCCGACCCCATGGCCGGCCGCGCTAGCCTTCATTCGCTTGTTCTCAATTTGTCCAATGCCGGTGACGCCACCTCCGATGGGAGTAGCCGAGGCTCCAGCCACCATAGGAGGGACAGAGAAAGGGAGGTTGAGAGCCCCGAGTTGAGGTATCATGTCAAGGTCTGTTGTGCTAAGGCTCTTTGGAAACTCTCCAAAGGGTGTCTTCTAACTTTCAAGAAGATTACCGAGACCAAAGGCTTGCTTTGTCTCGCCAAGATCATTGAGTCTGAGACTGGGGAATTGCAGCTCAATTGTCTCATGGCTGTCATGGAGATCGCTGCGGTGGCCGAGTCCAATGCTGATCTTAGAAGAGCTGCTTTTAAGCGAACTGCGCCCGCCCCCAAGGCGGTTTTGGATCAGCTTTTGAGGGTGGTTAAGGAAGAGACCAATCCAGCATTGCAGATTCCTGCCATTAAGGCAATTGGTTCCTTGGCTAGAAATTTCTCGGGAAAGGATCCGCAAGTTCTTGCTCCTTTGGTTGCTCAGCTTGGTAATAGAGATGTTGATGTAGCCAGTGAGGCTGCCATTGCCTTGGGGAAGTTTGTGTGCCAGGAGAATTATAACTATGGTGACCATTCTAAGGCAATAGTTGAGGAGCTTGATGGAATTCCTAAGCTAATGAGCCTGCTGCAGATAAATCATCGGCAACAAGTGCATGGCCTGAAATTACTTTGTTTCCTTGCCATAAATGTAGGCAACAGTAAGGTCCTTGAGCAAGAACGTGTCTTGGGTACCCTAGAGAGGCTTGCTCGTCCTGTTCAATCTCAACATCCTGAATTGAAGGATCTCTTCGCAAAGGCCATACACCACCTCACTCTTTATCAGCCAGGAGCTCAATTGCACAGACAGCCCTTGGGGCTGTAAGCACCGCTGATTTCGTTAATCAAAATAATGATCCTTGTAAGTCTTTTGAATGAAAAAGTAAGAGTGTATTGTATTTAGAAAATGATTTATTACATTTCAAAAATGTCAATATTTCAATTTAAGCAGCCACTTTATTTGTGGTGTTCACTGATTGGTCATCCAAATTATACATAAAGCTGGTTGGCTCAACAAGACGAGTAAATTTTCGAATATGATTTCGGAAATGTTGCACATGGTATATAACTTGGAAAGTATAATTGATGGCATTTCCAAATTTTCTATTTCTTGTGACTTCTTTGCCCTTCCTTTCTTCTCCCGATAAGCAACCCTGCATCAATTTGATGTCTATTTGATAGACTTCTGTTCTGTGTTTTACTTGGTGTATACAATATATACATGTACAAAGCCATAGTTGCAACTTATGGAGATTAAAACGCGACATTGACCTTCCCTTGAAAAGAAAATAAATGACACAGCCTTGAATTATGTCTACATGCATGACAACATTTTACTATGAGTTTATCCCTCTGAATTTATGCTCTTCCCACATGTTGATGCAGGGTCCGATTGTTTGTGCTTTTCTTATAGAAAAAGTGGTATTATAATTGAAAAAATGTAAAAAAAAAATTATAATAATTATATTAGTATGTCAAAAAAAGCTGTTTTAGTACCTTTATCAGAAGCTAAAAATAGCAGCTTCCGAAAGAGCTCTTAAGGTCTATTTAGATAAAATTCTGCATAAGTATAGTATTCATAGGGGAAAAAAATCAAAAAGAAAAAATGAAATAAGTTTCTTTATAAGTTAAAATTAACTTACATAAAAGTTAAAAATAAGTATAGGGTTTAAAATTTAAAAATAAGTTTTTGTAGAAACTAATAAGAGAGTTTCTATTAACTAACTTATGCAGTTGTGCATAATAAGCTCGTTTTAAGATATGAAAAAATTTATTTTATTTTTCTTTCTATTTTTTTCCTCTTATGAGTAAGTACTCACAGAAATTTAATTAAAAATACCCTTTAAAAAGTTATATCAGTAAAGAAAAGCCTTTATTTTTTTTCCCATAGTGGGAAAAAAATGTACTCATAGGATTATGGCTCTATTTTATGCTCCGTGCCTATATCTACATTAAAAGTTATAATACTGTTATATTTGGTGAAACTTTTTGTCTAAAATCAAAATAAAAGTGGTTAGATTAATGCTTTATCTGCTTACCCTGGGAAAATAAATCTTATTCACTGCATGGATATCAATGTACTTAATTTTTTTCAGTTGCAATTATTCATTTGTATTGACAAATTTTATCACCGAAATGTCCCACTTTCTCAGGATTTCCTTCTAGAGATCTAAATTCCTGCAGAGATGATATGAATAAACTGAAGGCACGTATTCCTCAGATTTAACTACCTCTGTAATCAAATTCGGAAGAAAAAGAAAGGAGAAAAGAATAATAGATTTCAAATTGTTGTGTTATTAAGTGTGAAGGGAGGAAGGGTATGAATATTTTGCATTGTTTGGTCGAAGCATATCAGGAACTTGTACAATATTACTGATGACGTAAGTTAGCCTGAGGATTTCTTGGGATGTACTTCAATAGGCAATCTATCTTATGCTTGAAGAGGGTAGTGGCAGTCATAATTTTGATTCAAAATTTATCTTGGTTGCCATATCTGTAGAGTTCCTTGTTATTGTTCACTATATGAACCTACATATAATGCAATGGGTAAGGTTTGTACAAAGTTATCATGTTATGGATTAGTAGAGTGTCTTCGAAGTTTGCAGCTTGCACTCTGGATAGCACTAGTATGTTGTTTTTAACAGCGGGCATGAGCATCTTGCGTTGTTTTGTGGAAGCATAATATCAACTTGTACAACAGAATTGATCATAAATGTTGACATGAGGATATCTTGGGATGTTCTGAGAGGCAATCCAATATTTTAGAAGAGTGGCGGTTGGTGAGGAATTCAAGACAAGCTTACTGGCAATATTGATTCAGAAATTATCCTGTAAAAATTCTAAAGAATTCCTTGGTATTATGGACTGCATAAATCTACATAATGGACTGTCTGAAGTTTGTACAAAATTGTCATGGATTAAAAGGGTCTCCAAAGCTTGCAGCTGCCTTTCTGGATAGACAAGGTGAATATTTGTACAAATATGTCGTTTAAAGCCATGAACGTGTAGTTTTATTATGTTTTTATTTATTTCAATCGGGGTACATTTTTGCTAAATTATTCTGAATCATTTTCATTTTGCTAATGCATGGTATATACTGAAAAAGAATTAAGTAAATAGTCTTTGACCAAGTTGTAAACATGGAATGGACTCGTAGGTGGCTAAGTCTTCAACAATCCACATGCATTTCCGTTTTCTGCTGAGTTGCGGTATATCTATCCCGAAGATACTTGTGACAAGGCTGGAAGGTACTATCTTTCGTGGAATTAGTGTGATAACTTCGTTAGACCTAATCTGTTAATTGCTATTAAATGTCATCACTGGAAAGGGATTTTGTTGTAGGTTGTAACATAGTAATCAGGTTGAAGACGACAAATGTGTTGATGACAGCAGAGTAGACCACTCTCAATTCCCATTTTCTTCGGTATGCTAAATTTTAGTCTGTTGTTGTACAGGCCTTGTCACTGGTTTTCAGAAAACAATATGCAATGACGTTCCTTGAGTTTAATTGATTGCAAAGACCATTTGAGCACGTGATCACAAATTTAGTTGCTCGATTACGTATCTAATACTATCAAATTTTGATTAGACGTCCTTATATATTTTAATGCACATACAGTGTATACTTGGTTGAATGATGGTCCTCCATAAAGATAGATCCACACCAATTCATTTCCCATTTTCCCCGAGGCCTAAACTATCTGATGGATAATCGACCTGCCTATTGCCTATGGTATATAAAGAAATATATTTAGATCCAATTTTAATAATGATTTTTTTATTATTCCATACTGAACTTTTATTTATGAATAAATTCTCCTTTCTTATCTAAAGAAACGGATTTGCTGTCACTTGTCTACTAAAGATGATAGTGTAGGGCTAAGTAAGATGGCTCAGACAAGCAAGTTATTTTGTGAACAACCATGTGTGTTTTGTCCATTGCCAATATTTTTGGATTGCACTTCTGCACAAATTATCACCTACTTCCTTTACAATAAACCCTTGGGAAATATGTAAGAGTGTTGGTTTTATTTTTAGTTTTTTTTAAGTGAATAGGAGGAGGTTTTGTACCTGTAATTTCTTGCAAAGTACTATAAACCATTATTTTCTCTGGGCTATTCCTGGTGACTTGTGTTGAGAGTAACTTGAGTAAGAAGGGAATTCAACTTCAAATTTACTTTGTTAAAACAAGTAATTCATTAGGAAGTATGATGAAACTAGAAAGTAACACAGTACTCGTATATGCAATTGAAGACACTCACTGAATACGTAATTAGAAGTTTCGTGGTTTGAGTGAGGAAAGCGCAATCAGTGAAAAACACATTTCCATGGATGTCAACTGGCAGCTTATCTTTGATGAGTAGCTATTATTAAGACGTTCAATTTAAGGAATGCTTTATGTACTTTTAAGTTTGTTCGCTTTCTCGTTAGACCCAAAATAAAAAGGAAATAGAAAAAGCATCTTGTTTCCTCTGCGGTGTTAAGGTCATAATCACTTTTAAGCCATAAGGCCGAATTCATTCGGTAAAAGTACTCTAGCAATTTTTACCAGGTTAAAGAATGCCGAAATGTCAAACATAATCGTTGTTAGATATTTTGCAATCATTCTAGGGAGTTTGTTTCTTTTATAAAAAATTTGTTACTATAACATATATCATCGACTATTCTTATGAGTGCTTGTAATTATACTCGCAAGGTCTTTCGGGCTCAAATTCATCATTCCCAATGGCAGTTAAAGTGTGTCTTTGACATTGTTATTCATTCTGATGGCCAGGTCCATCTATTTCCTCTAGAAGCGCAAACTCTCGGGTTAAGTTCAACGCCTCACTTATGCATCCGATTTAAAGCCAAAACACCATGAATCATTGGGTTCTACCTAACTTCATTTTCATTCGATTTCTCGACTTCTTCACTTTGGTGCCGTTGCCAATCACAATAGAAATCAATTGTTAGCTATCATTTCAACCTCAACGTGTAAATTGTGCTTAGCTTTCTTTTTTTATTCCTTTTTCTATTCATAATAAGTGATAGAACGGAGGGATATCATCAATAATAAAGGACAAGACAGTAATGATATATCGGGGCATCTGGCAAAAAGACTCACTCAAAAGATTAGTGTACATGTTAAAATTACAAGTAACTTTTATCTAATTATAAAGACTCAACTAAGCCATTAAGAGGCATCTTTCTTTGAAATTCTTAAATGGATTTCACTTGTAAAATTTTGTTATGAAAATTAATAAGTAATTGATTTTAGTAAAATGACAATGAAAAAAAAAATGACAAATTCTGACAAAACGACTATGAATAAAAAATGAAGGGAGTATATTGTTAGGATTATTTTGTTGGCATTTATTTAAGAGGGTATTTACATCAAGAGGAGAGGGTTGTAACTTCATTATTTTTGTAAGTTTATTTCATAAACAACTTCACAATAGTAAAAAATTGTCTGTTTTGAATTGAAGCTCACATAATTTTTTTTTTGTCATCTCCTAAAATATTTTTCAATCATTGAAGTATATGTGCATTTTATAAACCCTTATTCCTTCTCATGTTTTATTGATATCGGACATTGTTTGTATCCCAATAATCTTTCATCAAACAACAGACTCAACCTCTCATTTAGCGAATTTTTCTTTATATATCATTTTATCACTTATCACTTGGTGGGACCTGGACCTAACATCTCATTCAACGCAAATCTTTTCACTTATCACTTTTTTGTATCCAACCTGATGTTGATTCAACGAAATCTATCTTTAAGCTTCACAATAATGATCATAATCTGCTTTAAGCCTAAACCTTCACGATGTTACTTTTAGTTATCTCCCAAAAAGCTTTTCAACCATTGAAATATATGTGTGCTTTATAAACTCAAGTGATCTAACATCTTATTCAAGAGAATTTATCTTTAAGCGGAATTTATCCATTTATCACTTTTTTGTATCCAACCAACAATTCTTATCACTTTTTTTTTGTAACTAACCTGACGTTTATTTAGAGAAATCTATCTTTAAGCTCCATAATGATGAACTATAGTCTGCTTTAGGCCTAAACTCTCACAATTTTACTTTTGATCATCTTCCTCAAAAGGCCTCTCAACTTACAACGTATATGCGTGTTTTATAAAATCTTTTTTTTCTCATATTTTATCAATGTAGGACCTTGTTTGTATCCTAACAAATATGTGTTTCTTTTATTTATATCAAAGAATCAAACATATAACTATAAAGCGTAATGTGGAAGCAATATAAAGATCGATATAAGAGAAAAAGAAGAGTCTTTCGTATTATAGTAATTCATAAACATAAATCGTAACTGAACAATTTACATATAAGATAATACTAATAAAGTAAAATATAAATGGTAATAATAGACAATCACTATTAAATATTCATAAAAAAAAATTTATTTTTACCTTGATTTTTTTAAATGAGCACATTATCTCGTCATCCAAGTACTTTTCAACAAAATTACTAAATAGGTCCACCAATAATTCCATACCCTTATATTTCATCAATAATTTATTGAGTAAAATTTTCAAAACTATTTTCATATTATATACATAAATATTTTTTAAAAATAAAATAAGTATTCGAGCTTAAATAAGCAACCGGTTCTTATGCAAACTATGCGAGATGCACTCTGAGAAAAATATTTAGTTAAGATGGGTGCTTATTCAGTAAGAACAGGATAAAAACCCATGTTTTTAATGCTCAAATATCAAGGAATCTTTTGGAAAAGCGTTGTTCACCAAACAAAATTTTAGTAGTGCAAGAAAAAATCGAATCCGCATAATAATATATATAAAAAAAGGATGAGAATTAACCCAATAAAAATTTGTGCTTACCTTACAAAACATAAATATTTCACGGGCCAATAAGTGTAATTTGACATTATACACACCTTTTACATCTGTGATTTTGTAGTATTTATTTATTCATCTTCATAGTTTAGAGTAACGTGTTACATTTTTTTTTTTTACTATTCCGAAGGTTAGAGCACGTGAAAAAATAATTTAGGATTCAAATTGAGGTTTAAAACTTTATGATGTATAAAGAGAAAAAAATGTATATATATTTGACTAACATCATAACTAGTTGGCATTTTTTCCCTTTTATGCATGAGACAGCATCTTGTCGGTGTCCCTATATCATATAGTTAAGAATTTGCTAAGTTCAAAAGCCATTATTCAGCAAAAGCATTTCAATATCACTTGTCGGATGCACCGTTAGTTGACCCGAAAAGGCTACAACATTACTTAGTATTTCACTTCAACCACCTTTAATATTTCTCTTCCCTTTTTCCTACGTTGTCTTTGTTGATTATACTTTTTTACTTTTATGACGAATTCAAATGGTGCCCGAACTCCTAATTAAGGTTGTTACTTGTTAGCTAGAAGCTGCGTCGGCATATGTTTTTCTTTCTAACAAATGCTAGCAGTGTCATTATTACATGGATAAAGTTCAATATGTATACTGTAATTTCTGAATTATATTATATCAAAGTTGTTTTAACATGAAAAACAACTTAAAATAATCTAGCGGTCGTCCAAATCTAAAATATTGAAAGAGTAACTTGTTTCCTATTAAACTTAAAGTATATACGTATATGTTTGCGCATATTAGCATCATGAATTTTCATGAGATAATTTTTTAAAAACCTTAGAGTGAATTTGTCTACCTTTGTCCAAATATCCGCATATGTGTCAAATTGCCAATAGGCGCATGTCCTAGCAAGGTGGACACATAAATCCCAAACTTAGAGTTAAATTATAAACGTATATTTGTTTTTATTAGCATATGTAATTCTGTTAGTAGTGTCTTATATTAAGGGTTATGGGAGTATTTAATATTTTTAAAAATAATTAAAATATTTAATAAAGTGTAATAACTAGTAAATAATCCTTAACTAATATTCTTTTGAACACTTATTAGCCGCTGAGAGGTTAATATCTTGATTTCAGCGAAACAAAAGAGAGAAGGTTTGACACGGTCCATAATAAAAGGTTTTACGGTGGTTTATTTAATCATAACTTAGAACCTGCTTTTGACGGCAATGTTATTGCCTCTGATTTTGCTGAGAACCTTAATGACTTTTGACCACATAGACATGGATAACTGCCTCCACAATCTTTGATAATTACCAAGGCTTGGCGGCAGGACCTTTCGTAATTTGCAATAACATGTGTACAAGCTAGCCCCGTGGCTTAATTATCAATATATCTTTTTGTCAATGTCTGTCATAATTTGAACCTTTAGATCAATTGCCTAAACAGCGATACATGATAAATCAGAAGCGTGAGCTTAGCCTAAACACTTCAAGTTAATTAATTTATGATGGGGTTATGCACTGTCCTTCTCTTGCTTTTGTGGTATGGTTATGCCTTAGTTCCCAGCTGTTCCAATTTAAGTACTAGTGACTTTCACCGCCTTAATTTGGTATATGGCGCAAAGTAGCAACCCAAGTAGGGCCATTTTCGAAGTTACTGCACACTTTTGTTTGCTACCCAAGTCAACATTGGCTCTAAATTACACGCACAGCGTCCAAACCAATTAACATCATCAATGATCTCTTCATTCATCATCACCATCGCCATGGTTTTCCAAATCCACACGACCAATTGACTTTTTTGGATGGGTTTGCGTGAGCTTTATCCTGATTTATGACTCAATAATGGCTTGTGTTATGCCTCATGCATGTGTGGTTGTAACAAGTACTAGAGTAGTTGGTGTACGTCATTGTGTGGCTTTCTCTTCTCTCGTTTCATTTGCTTTAATTGGATATCTTTTTCATAATTAGAGAACATGTATATATAAGCAACTTAGCGAAACAGATAGGCAAATTAAGTTAAGCTGCCATAAATTGCACAGTCACATCCCCTGTGATTGAAAGCATAATTTCTTGAAACTGTTAGAAACCGAAAGAGCTTAGGCAATATATATAAACATAAATATATATAATTAACAATGCAAGTTGAGGTCATACCATAATTATGCATGGAGTGGTTGCGCCGGTGACTGCTATGTATTTTCTTGGATCAGCCTGTGGTGACAGCAATATAAAGATGATTTTTAAAGGTGGTTTAAATTTGGAACCGTATATGTTACACAGAACGAGAGGACCCTATAGCTTTAGACTTTAATCAGTTATATAACATCTCTCTCCAATAATGCAGATTTTTGGCAGCCAATTTTAGCCTTTTGGAGGGATTCACCAAATACATGGTGCTGCCAAATGCCAGCGAAAGCATCATCACCTCATTATACGATAGGACAGGATAATCTTCTTATTCAAAACTGCCAGCGTTCTACCAAAGCCCACTATATGTATATCGAGAAACACACGAGCGTGTGTCCCCATGTATCATATACAATAATATAATACATATTATAAAAGGAAGGATCAAGGAAAATGAAATGAAACTCGTATTTTCTGCAGTGTATATGGGTTTTTGTCCTTTTATCATATTTTGAGTCTTTGACCAGCTAAAGGAAGCACCACAAGGATAAAGGAGAAAGAAAAAGAAAAGGATAGTACATATACTCAATAACTGCATGTAATTAATAATATATTACAGTCATAAGCTTCACTCAATAATATCATCAAGGGTATATCGTTATTCAAACTTTGGCTGATGAAAACAGATACATCAATAGGAATAATAGGTGCGGGGGAGGGGGGATAATCTCAATTCTCAAATCATTCGTTACAAATCTCCTGTACTATCAACATCGTTCTAATTTTGCTACCTCGTTTCAACATAAAGAAGAGTTCAAAAAATCAAAAGAAAGAAAGAATTTACAGTTCATATATGCTGGAATACATCAAAATTTGCTCCAGTTAGATCTTCTGAAAGTGACGTTAACGGAAAGCTAGTGAAATCTATCGAATTGTGAGTCTGCAGCTGCCCTTCTTCCCATGAACTCGTCTTAAAATCCTCGGATTTTGCGCCATTTACTTGGAACTGAAACAAAGGGTCAAACTTGTTGTCACCGTCCCACGAGAACCCTGCATTTTCCATCATGTGACACCCTCCTCCAGGGTAAATGGTGCTCATGTTTGAGCTATTGCTGGAACTTTCTTTCACCTGATCATTCATGAACAGTGAACTGATTTTGGAAGCTGAATTGTTGTCTGAAAACTCAGTCACCGACACGTTCCCATGATCAGAATTGGTTAGACTTGGCATTGAAGAGAATCCATAGCTTGAATTGGGCCCAAAGAGGCTCTGATCAGATGCTTTAAGGCCTGTGTGGTACTGACTCACAGGTAAATTAAAACCACACTGTGCAACATTCATTGGAAAATCATAGTAGGATAAAGGGTCCAATGCTGGCTTTGTCATGAAAATTTCTCTTGAAGCTTCTGTTAGCGCTCCATCATAGTAATCGGAATCTATCAGAAATGCTGATCCCTGTGATGAAGGAAAGGTTAATGGAACTGAAGGGCCTTGAGATAATGGTGTTTGCATAGGTGATGTCTCTGTGATTTTCTTTTCTTCCTTTACATGAGCTTCTGCAAGAGGCTTGTGTGTAGTTGGGTCAATCCCTTGCTTCAGAAGCTTCTTCTTTAAACACGAATTCCAGAAGTTTTTAATCTCATTATCTGTTCTTCCTGGTAACTGTGCTGCTATTTGAGCCCACCTGATATTCAAAAGAGAACCCATTTCACAACCATTTTCTTGTTATGTACCAAGGGAAAGAGAATTGAGTGCTAATCCTTGAATTTTTATGTTTCTCGT